ACGAGCAGGGGAGGAGCAGACAGAAAGGGAGAGAGAGAATCCCAAGCAGGCTCCGCACTGTCAGAGCAGAGCCTGATGCGGGGCTCGAACCCACAAACCGTGAGATCGTGACCTGAGTCAAAATCAAGAGTTGGACGCTTAACCAGCTGAGGCACCCAGGTGCCCTGCAGATGGCATTTTAAAGAGTTTTTTTCTTGTCAAAATGGGAAGATACCAAAACAGTGCCTCTTCTCTCTGAGCCCCTTCTCCAAACACATGCAATCCACCCAAATGTGTTATTCTTTTTCCCCTGGCTGTGGTGGACTTGGTTAAGAATGAGCAATCCCAGGTACCTTACCCCTGCCAAAACCCTCCCCCTAGTGAAGATTAATTGGGAATAAAGCAAGTTATTCAGAAAGAGGGAGGGAATAGAGGCATTAGCCAATGGGTAACAGAGCACCTAACTCCCTACCCTGCCTCCTCCTTTGCCTGTCGTTCTCACCCCTCCCAACTTCCCCAACACAGACATTCGTGCACATACACACAGCCACACACACAGTAGCTCCTGCTGCTGCTGCTGCTGCTGCTGCTGCTGCTGGGTAAACAAGGAGACAAAGGGGTGGCAAGCAAGCTAAGCCACCGCATATGATGAGTTCCACATCTCAACAACAAATAGACCAGATGGGAGGAGGGTGAGACAGTGGGGAGATGCAGGCTATGGACTGGCTTTGGCTCTGGAGGGTGGGAAGCACGAAAGAAGAGAAAGGAACTGCGGGGGAGGCAAAGGCTCCTCTGCTCCCCACTGCAGCCAGTCTTGCTACCCCAAGTGCCACATTATGCATGTTCTCTGTCTCTAAAAGGCGCATGCCCAAACTCCAGCACGTCTGCAGATAAGAAAAGGCATCAGCAAGCATGGGGAGCTGTTTTATGGTTTATAATTATCTTGTACCAATATTCAAAATAATTATAACTTCCACATATTAATAATTGAACTGGAATCGCAGCCATGACATAGATCAAGAAACAGAAATCGCTGTCCACACCTAGGTATAAATTGAACAATTGGTAAAATGGTAAAAAATAATTTTCTCCCAGATGCTGGAATTAGTGAGATATTGGAACAATTAGCTGCTTCTCCCATTAAAGATAAGGTGGTGATCATAATATTTCCAATTTAGAATAAATATAAAAGACCTACTTGTTCCGTATTAAAGCATATTTGTTCTGTTTTAGCAGTATCTAATAGGGTGTCTGTCACTGGAAGAGAAGTGGTCTCCTATTTCATCTGTCTCCTTGTTAATTTGGTATCTTTTTATCTCCTTCTTCCTCTTCCCTCCCCCTACTCCTTGCTACGGTCTAAAAAAAAAAATAATAATAATAATAATAATAATAGCTTGAGAAGGAGCAAGAGAAAAAATAATGAATGAACAGGAGTTTTATAGATCTGGGGTTTATCATCAGCTAGAGTAATCGCAATTGGTGCTGTTAAACTACACAAAGCAATAAAAAGAAAACACTACTCAAAGATCGTTTAAGGAGGCATGTGATAGTCAATGAGAGGTTTGCTCTATTTGGGAGCGCTTAATAGCTTCTCGGGTAGAATCTGCAGCATTTGGTGGGTAATGTGTTGGGGGGGGAGGGGTGTGTGTGTTCTTTCCTGTTTGGACTTAACACATCTGAGGCATCACATGGAGACACAAACAAAATTCAGTGAAGGGCAGTCGAGAGAGGAGGAAATGAAGACAGATTAGGCGTAAGAATATCAGGTGTG